TCGCATGAACGGATATGGTGCCTAGATAGATGAGAGAACTTCGGCAGGTTGATGAATAGTTGGAGCATGCCGCTGACACTTCTCGCATTTCCGCGAGAAATTCTCGCAGTCTTTTACCATCGTTGGCCATAAATATCCGTGGCGCTTGATTTTTATTGCGAGAGATATTCTGCCGGAATGGTTTCCGCAAGATCCGGAGTGCTCTTCCTGCATTATCCGCTGTGCTTTCTCCCCTTTCACGCAAGTCACTAGTGGTCCGGAGAATCTCCATTTGTAAAGTTCTCCGTTGACTAAAACGTACTGTGCGGCCCGAGTTTTTATTTTCCGGACCGCCCATTTTTCCGGTGGAAGTTCTCCGTTGGTTATGTATGCGAGAATCGTCTCCATCCAGGGACGACTAAATCCGTAATCAGACTGATCTTCGACTGGACGGTTTTCGTCAATGTCTTCATCCGGTTCGTTAATCAGGTTTACGACTACGTGTGGTCCGATGCTAGGGTGTTCGATGAATTCGACAGGGATTACCCTGCTCATACCAGGATCCGAGCTGGATGCCAAGGCGGCCAAGGCGTTTGCTTGGAAGTTTTCCGCTTGAGGGATCCTAGTAAGGGTGAATTGATCAAACTTTTGGGTTAGGTCTTTTACTAAGATTAGATATGCTTCCATTCTCTCGTCCCTTGCTTCATATTCTCCGCTGAACTGGCTTGCCACTAGTTGGGAATCGCAGTAAGCGTGAAGGTTACGAATCTTCAGACCGTGAGCTATTCGTAGTCCTGCGATCAAGGCCTCATATTCGGCTTCGTTGTTTGAATCATGGAAAACTAATCGGAATGACTGTTCCAATATCTCCTCTGTGTGGGACGCGAGTCGGATGCCGATCCCGGAGCCTTTTTTGGATGAGGATCCGTCAATGTATAGGATCCAGGTTGAGTTCGGCTCTTGGTTGGACGTGCTTTCAGTGGGGAGTTCCACTATGAAGTCTGCGAGTACCTGCGATTTTGCACAAGTCTTTGCGCGATATTCAATATCGTGCTCGCTCAACTCGATCGCCCATTTCGCTAATCTTCCCGATTGGCTGGGACTATGCAAAATGGTGCGGAGAGGAAACGAAGCGGGCACGAAGATGGTGTGAGATTGAAAATACGGTCTCAGTTTTCTTGCTGACATGACCACTGCCAAAGCCAATTTCTCCATCATCGGATATCGCGTCTCCGCGTCCAGTAGTGTCTTACTTACGTAGAAGATCGGCTTTTGTTCGCCGCATTCTTCTCGGATGAGGACGCCACTCACGGCGGTCGTTGATACTGCAATATAGAGGAATAATTGTTCTCCTTCTACGGGTTTCGCGAGTATTGGCGGGGTAGCTAGGTAATGTTTCAACTGTTGGAAAGCTTTCTTGCATTCTTTGGCCAATTCGAACTTTTTGTTTCCCTTTAACGTTTCGTAGAAGGGTAGACATTTGTCCGTTGATCGAGAGATAAAGCGGTTGAGTGCCGCGACCCTGCGGTCAGTCTTTTCACCTCGCGTTTCGTTCTAGGAGAAACCATCTCTATCAGCGCCGTGATTTGTTTCGGGTTGGCCTCGATCCCGCGGTAAGTGACGAGGTACCCTAAGAATCCTCCGGATGCGACGGCGAACCGACACTTCGCAGGATTCAGCTTCATGTTATGAAGGTTGAGCCTCTCGAAACATTCTTGGAGGTGCACGACATGATATCGCTCTTCGAGTGATTTCACAAGCATATCGTCGACGTACACTTCCATTGTTTTTCCGAGCTGTTCGGCGAACATGCGATTGACGAGTCATTGATAAGTCGCACCAGCATTCTTAAGGCCGAAAGGCATTACTTTATAGCAGTAAGTTCCGTGATCAGCTATGAATGCGGTTTTCTCCCGATCGTCAGGGTTCATCATGATCTGATTGTATCCCGAAAAGGCGTCCATGAAAGATAAGAGTTTGTTAACCGCGGTTGCCTCAACTAGGTGATCGATGTGTGGCAGCGGATAACTATCTTTAGGACACGCTTTATTGAGATCGGTGAAATCGACGCAAACTCCCCACTTCCGTTCTTTTTCTTTACGACGACAGGATTGGCGAGCCAGTCAGGATACCGAACTTCTGTGATCGACCCTACTTTGAGGAGTCTGTCGACTTCGCTGTTGACCATTTCAGCGCGTTCTGGCCCCAGTTTTCTTCTTTTTTGTTTGACGGGTTTGGATGTTGGGTCAACGTTAACTTCATGACATGTGATGTTAATGTCGATTCTTGGCATATCTTCTGCAGTCCAAGCAAAAGTGTTCGAGTTTCGTTTCATACATGTCAGGAGTTCAGCTTTTAAAGTCTCGCTCAGGTTCGCACCGATTTCGACGCAGCGCTCTGGGAAAGCCTCGTCGATGCACACTGAGATGACAGGTTGGCTCACGTTTACCTTCCAATGCCTCAGATGCTCGCAACTGCCAGAAGAGTTCCGTTTTATCTTGCTTTGGGACGTTGTTGAGGGCCGTCGACTTCTTTTTCTTTTTGGAAGAAAAGTCGACCGGCAGATTTTTTCGTTTTAAATCTGCGGCATAGCAAACTTGCGAGGTCCTCCGGTTTCCCCATATGGTCTCGATCCCATATGGTACGTCGACGGAATCGCTTGCATCGAATTTAACCACTGCTTCCCTACAATTGCGTTGTAAGACATGGGTCGATCGACAACTTGGAATTCGACGTTTTTCACGATGCTCCCAGCCCGAACCGTAAGGTTGATCGGTCCAAGAGTTATGGTGACTTCTCCCGAGAGTCCTACTAGCGGGCTTACGTTTTCCGCGATTTCAGACAGATCGATTTCCATTCTCTCGAGAGTATTTTTGAAGATGATATCAGCCGCGCTTCCGGTTGCGACTAATATCCTTGCAATATCCATATTCTGGATCGTCAGCTCGATAATGAGAAGATCGTTGAGAGGATTGATAGAATCGATCGTTGCTCTTTTCTCGAACGAGATGACGTCGCCGTTCAGATTAGGCATATCTTTTCTCATTTGTTCTAGTGATTATTGTGTAAGAGAATCCGACCCCCTCCCTCCTTCTAGCGCCAAACTATAGGAACTGAAATCCACACTGTCAATTTTCCGTCAAATATGGAAACTAAGGGAAAACCCTAATTTTCCCGAGGTCCTGGATCTCTGCGGAAATCACTAAAATGAACAGAATTAACAGAATATGGATGAATAAAAATAACGAAGAACAGAGAATGAATAAGGAGTTTGCGTGAGAGATTTTTATTGAATAAGAGATTGACAACTGTTACAAAGAGAATCGCGGAGCTTAGACGTCGAAACGTTCTAAGGATCCGGTTTGCTAGTCTACACGCCTAAGTCCTAATTTCCTAAGCTAAGAGCCGCTTCTCTAGGTCTGATTTTCGTCCCTCTGCTTCTGCCTTATACGTCTTGCTTATATACTCCCTTCCTTGGCGGTTTGGTCCTTCCATTTCACCCAGATTCGAGTTTATCGGAAATCTTCCATTTATCTTGATATTTCCTTTCTTCCCGTGGAAATCTTCTATTCATCTTCAAACTTGCCATTATCCTTCAAACTTGACATTTATTATCCTTCTGCGGGTAACTCGTCAAAACGTTATCATATCTTCGGGTTAGATTTCATTAAGACCGCGAGATGGGCTTTTATCGCGTTTTAGGACCTTCTGAGCCGTTTTGCGACTTTATAAGCGATCATTTCCTGATCCGATGCCGTTTTTAGTAAATTCCCCGAGTTTAATCGTAAAGTTTAGCTACGTTCGTTTGCTTCGGTTAATCGCTGCTGTTTTTACGATTCACTCGACGTTTTTATTAAAAAAGCGTTTTTACGATTTTTACGAAAAATCTCGAATAAATCGTATAGTTTAGGCAATATTCGGTGTTTAGTTTAACCGTTGCCGTTTTATACCATTTCCTCGAGTTCTTTTCGAGAAAACAAAGTTTTACGGTTTTTATCGTAAAACTTGAACAATGGGACGGATTAAGACGAAACGGGAGACATTTCGACCGTGGTCCGGAACATGATCGTGTCGAAGGACGTAAACCTTGAACCGGGGATGTGGGAGATCGAGGCTCGGGATAGTCGGTTTAATGTACGGCAAACCGGACCAGACCGGTTCAGCTCGCCGTTCGGCGAGCTAGTCGTGACGAGACTATCTTGCTGTTCGGCGAGCTAGTCGTGTCGGGACTAGCTCGCGTTTTACGGCAGTTTTGGTTTTTCGCGGTTTTGTGCTTAACTCGGACGATCGTGTAATCGACGTTTGTTTCGTTTTTCAGAGATAAACTTCCGAGTTTTCCGGGATTTTCTTCGTTCGGAAATCTCTTTTGGATTTATAAAATGATTTCTCGAGTTTTATAAAGCGATTTATCGAGTTTTATAAAACGGTTTCTCGAGTTTTATAAAACGATTTAACGAGTTTTATAAAACGATTTCTCGAGTTTTATAAAATTATTTTTGTATTTCGTGGAAAGTAATGATTCTATCTTTTACAGAAGTTATCGCGTTGATTTCGAGATTACGGTTTTTGACACCAACAAGTGAAGATCAAGAGAGAAATTTGTGATAGGTAAAAATATGGTGCTTCTTCTTGAATTGTGTCTGCTTTCGTAGTTGGGTTATTTGAATTACAATAATATGAAAGACACGTCATTTTGTTTTTGAAACATATGAAATACACGTCATTTACAACTCTTTTAAAATTAGTTCAATGTAATTTGGAGACTTCGAGAAGCAAACTCCAACACTTTCTCTTTTGTCGCAACCATCTTCTTCTCAATAGTATTTTTCAGGTATATGAAAAAGGTAAGCATACAATTCGAATTGAAAGAAAACATGACTATTACACGTTACTGAAAATAAGTTCATTGTAAATCGTTTCGTCATAATCCAGACTAGTGCAGATATTACGTTTAGCATATCTTCCGAATCTGAAATAAACAGATACCACATATTATTGAAGAGACAATAGATGAACAATTTTTAGTAGAAGGTCTCAGAAACAGAAGAATGTGAAGCCTGCTCATCGAATAAACTAGTCGGATGAGGTCCATGACCAGGCCCAAAAGCCTTAACATGGTCTTTAAGGGAGCGTTTGTGTTTAAAATCTGAACCGCAAACGCAAACCCAACGTTTCCCACAGTTCTTCTCATGAGTTCGCCAGTCCCCCTTAACTGCCAAGAGCTTACCGCAAATGCGACACGCGTATGGCTTTTGGCCATGTTTGCGCTTATAGTGTGTTTGGAGCGTTCGGAAGTCTTTAAGTGGCTTGGACCGAGGATGGTCGATGTGGTTCCTGCACCCTTCAACGCAGCAGTAACAAGGGATGCCTAGCATGGCTCTTGGCTGTGTCCCTTTCAGTGACTCTGGTCCTTTTCTGTATTGTGAACCGTGGCCCCACATATGCATCTGCTTTCATATTTGGAGTCAACCAGGTTTCAATACGTAAAAAACGAGACAATACTAAACGAAAATGAAATAGATGAAATGGTCTGAAGATTTCAAGATATCTTTTAACAACATATGCCAAACTTCGTTGAATCAATTTTTATATCAGCAGCTGATTACATGATTTGTTGAAATCATATTACGAATTGATCAATGTAGCTTACTGAATAAATTCAAGTATATATAAACAGACTCGATTCTATACATTTGGCTACTTAATAATGACATTCTTTTACCCACGAAAACTGAAACTAAGAAATAATGTCTTTAAACTCTTATATAAAATTTGACGTTAAAAATCAGTGTTATATGAGTTTCAGCCCACGATGAAGTATGTTTATAATTATACTAAATATTATTTATTAAATACTATTTATTACTCCCTTTGTTTAAGAATCAAAATAATGCACATTTTAGAGTTTCACACAAATTAAGAAAATGCATTAAAATATGATTATAAATACACAACTTTTTGGGATTATCTTTTTCAATAATTTTAACCAATAAGAACCCAATTAATGCAATTAAGCTTTTGAGGTATGGAATTAATTATTTTTAGTAATAAAAAATGTATTGAAAATTCAGAAGATAGATTTTTTTGAATAATCCTTTTTAGTTTGTTTCCCCAAAATAGTTCTCAAGCACGAAAATAACGAAAATACGTTTTTATTAAAGGGTAAATAGGCACTTATACTCTTAGGTAGAGTTAAGGGATGAGGTTTTGGGTTTAGGCTTTCTAATTTAAAAAAATAAAAATAAATATTACAAATTCAAAATAAAAAGGCTATTTTAGTCATTTTATTTTTAGAATTCTTTTTGTGACAAAAATTTAAAAATGTCTATTTGAAAGAATTGTCCAATACAAAAAGTATCTTTGGAAAAAAATTCTTTTCCAAAACATGTAGTTTTATGAAACGGAGATAATGATAAACCAAAATACAACTGTATTTGAGAATGCCTATACAAAAATATAATTGTATATGACAAGTCAAACTTGAGTAAATAATGTAATTTTTAATCTTCAGTGTTATTAAAAGTTTATTTTTAAATATGAAACAAACTTGATTTAATTTGGATCAAAATATCCTCATAAAAAAGAAGTACGTGTATTTTAATTTAGAAAGTCAGTCAATATTAACCAAGCTAATAAACTTATAAATGATAGTATATCAAGATCCCGAGGAGATTTTCATTTAGTTAAATATATTGGTTGTTTAACTTTGGGAAGTTAATTGATATACAAACAAACTAACATTACATAAGGAGATATAAGTAGTATATGAAAATTATATATATGATCTGGCTATGCCCAGAGACACAATAAGGATATGATATTGATATTACCTGAAGATTATTGTAGCGATTGAATGTCTTGAAGCACACATGGCAAGAAAAATGGGTGAAGCCTATTAAAATTTGCTCCACCGTCGGAATCCAGTAAGCCTTGCCGGAAACTTCATTTTCCATGTTCTTTCCGGCGTCATAAATGACGATCCCTTTCCCATTTTTCTTATTCGGTTGTTTTGAGTCATTTCTTAAATTACCAGGAAGGCCGATGTGTAAGCTCACGTCCACTGCAGCGTCCTCTTCATTTTCTCCGTCGTCAACATACGATTGCCTAGGTTTTAAGTTTAGGTTCGAGTTTAGGTCGATCCTATCGATAAGCGGTAAAGGTTCGATTAAGGTATCCTGGTTATTAGGGTTTCTGGTGAGGTTAGGGAAGAGAGCAAGGGATTGGAAGTGGTCTCTAGGTTTTTCAGAAGAAGAGCTTGAAGAGATCTCGTATTCCATTGAATGTGGTGAACAGTGGTTAGAAAGTGTTGAAAACATTTGGGAATATATGTTTATAGATTTTTTTGTTTTCTTTTTTACCTTTCGAGTAGATATATAATTATAATTAAAACTATCTTTATGTAATAATATGATTAATTGCTCTCTAGCTATCGAAGTGATTTAATGTTTGCAATCAGTTTTTAACTAATAATCATGCAGGTACGTAAGTAGATCCCAGGTATCAATCCGTCTTTAAACTGCGAGAATAAAGATAGATAAAATATCGAATATACTGTATTATATAAGATTGTCTTTCTATGTTTACGAAACCAAATGTGAACAAAACGAATAATGAAAAAGAAATTATAACTATAATTTAAAGTACGTACCAAATAGAGGAGAAAGTAAATGAGAATCTCGGGGAATGTGAGGAGCAGACACTTGAGAATGCATGTGGTTGAGTGAAAATAACCTTTGTTAAGAAGTAATTTAATCTCCTCTGTTTCATCTCTTTGCCTATAAATAGAGTGTGAAGCAAATAACCTTCAATTTTGTGGACCAACCTCTTCAAGTTTTGGCAAGCTTTTCATTGCAGGGTTTTGACAATCTTTGGATCTTACGTAAGCTTTTTGCTTTTCTACCATTAGAATTTTCGAGTTTTGGTAATTGGAGTAAATGCTAATTTTGAATTTACTTTTTATTTTTATTATGGAAGTTGAGCCATTGAGTTTACTCGGCTTGTGTTTTTTTTGTATGTAAGTGTTTTAGTTCTCTCTAACGGTCAACACCTCATCCAGTTTGGTAAAATTAGATTTGAAACACCAATCGGAGAAAAGTTATAATTAAGTAGTATTTCCACTGTTTAAAAAAGATGCATATTCTAAAAAAAATTATATTGCAAAAAATGTGTTTTCGATTTTAAATCCACAAGGAACTAGAGTCACAAAAGATATAATCCTAAGTAATTAAGTTAGGTTGATTAGGTTTAAAACAATAAATAAAAGTTGGTAGCAATGGTAAGTTGCTAAGGAGAATGGGTTTTGGGTTTTAAAACAATAAAAGAAAGTAGCTAGATTCAAGGTTATTATTCAGAAAAATCAGGATTATAAATCTATGGATGTCTTAACGAATTGCTTGCAAATATATGAGAACTTCAATCCTTAGACAAATCTATAGCTGTCGCTAGTTAGACACGTCCATTGATCTGATTGCCGACAGTATCGATCAATGTTGCTATCGCAGTGTCAATTGATATGATTTGCCGTCGATCGATTAGTCTATAGAAGTATCGATCGATATAGCATCGGATCGAATTGAAACAGTGTTCACCCGAGAATTTCTATTAGACCGCCTATCGCACGTGCCTAATAGAGTCTGAGCTTAGCCAAATGATTTCTGGATAATGACTATTAGATTAGTCACTCCATAATCATACTTCTAGGTAGCTAATCTAGAGTAAGCATTAGGGTTCATTTGGATAATGAATATAACAACTCAACACTCCATAGTTGGGGCAAATCCCTCATAACTATTTGAACCTTAAATCTAACAAATGAATCTACTCAGACATAGCCAAGTGATTCATAGCAAAAGAATAAGATGAAAAGAAAATACTTTATTGCTAAGTATATAATAGTAAAAGAATACAAAAAATTAGATGTGTTGCTACAGCACTTAGGCATAACTATAAATATGAGAACAATTATGTTAAAAACTCGTCAGGGGCAATCTTGTAATTTTGTGAGAACTTGGGCTTCAAGTCGGCCAAGTAAATCTTGCTCATCACGCTCTGTATCGATCGATGGTACATGGTGTACATCGATCGATGGAGTATCTCGACTTTAACTTCCACGGAAGCGTCATCGATTGATTACACAAGGTGTGTATCGATTGATATGTGTCTCTCATTGTCGGATCTTCATAGTCATCTTGGAAAACTCTCTTTTAAGCTCCATAAGGCACCTAAATCATCACTTTACTACAAAATGCTTCTGAACCTGAAAACATACCTAATTGACTCCAAAACATAGATAATTATCATAAAAATATATCAACACCATGACCAAAAACAGGTCAAAATCATGGTATATCAACTCCACAAGACTTAACCTTTTGCGTGTACTCAAGCAAACCTTAAGTTAGTCTTTGAAAGAAGTTTAAAAACAGTAGGGACTCAATCAAAATCTCAACTTTAAAATCTCCACCTCTTACTTTGTTGCGAGCCACATCTCATATCTATCAACTACAGAAGTACATTATACCATATCCTAGCTTAGCAACCAAATACATCTAGCCAATCAACTTAAACATTCCTTGTTTGTCTATCCCCTCTACTGATTTCATTTATGCATAAAAATAAAGGTGTAGGCTTTACCTTGGGAGTATCGATCAAGGAACACATGGATTCAACTCAAACAAGTTTCAAGCATTCTCATTCTGGTTCCCTTTCTCTCTTTATCCCCCTTCTCTAAATCCCAACTCTTTCTTTCTTTTCTCTTTTTTTTTTTTTTTTTATATCAATCCCAATGAACAACTAATGTTCATCTTATTGATCTTTCTTGACAAAGTGTAAGCGAATAGTGGGGTCATAGGTAATCTACCTCTCCCTCGCTTTGATCATTCCTTTGATTTAGAATAGTGGGGTCATAGGTAATGTACCTCTCCCTCTGCCTCTCAGGAAATCATATCGTCTTTGATTCTCTGGGGATGCCGAAGGAAGGAAAGAAGGAAACCAAAATTTTTGAGACTTTTACCTTCCAGACTTGCAGGAGGATTCTGATCCCTTGTATACCAAGCCCCAAGACAAGCAGTAGATGTCAGGTTAGGTTGGAAATCAGCTTTGGTTCTTCCAGACAATCATGAAAGTGTTGTCATAGGTGATCGGTGATCCACTTTAGCATCTATAGTACTTTCTGCAATCAACAATTCTAAAAATGGTGCTAAAGAGTGGTAAGATAAAAAGTAAGACTTTGAAAAAATTTCCCTTTCTGGACTCAATAAAATCAATTTTTGAAAAATTTATAAATAAGATAAAAAAGAGGTAAAGTAGCATTAGTAATCATATCCCCCCAGACTTAAATCATACACTGTCCTCAGTGTATAATCAGTCAGAGTTAGAGCACAACAAAAATTAAATGAGTAACTGATATCAAAATTGTGAACGATATACCTGACCGATATGGATATCGATCGATGGTGAGTCGCCATCGCGATCGATGCGTGTAGGTATGTGTCGAGCGATATCGACTGGTTCATATCGGTCGATATGTATTGATCGTGTATCTATCTTCCTAAAAACAAATAAAAACGAAAATAATAAGTAAAAATAAAATAAAAAGAAGTAGTAAAATACCTAACAGTGGGTTGCCTTCCACTCAGCGCTTGGTTAAAGTCAGTTAGCTTGACTGTGGAATTATGGTGGCTAGTGAGGTGGGTTGCAGGTACTTGTTGGCAAACAAGTATCCTCCTTGTCTTGTGATTCTTCAAACCAAGAGGTTAAAAAGCTTTTTGTGGCTTTCTCGCTTCTGGTCATACTAGTCTTCAAACCATAAACTTCAGTTTGGATCCTTTCCAACCACTCCTCTACGCTTGCAATGCTATACTAATGATGTCCAAGCATGTTGTAGATGTGGTCTGCATTCAGCATCGTGGTGTCGTGGTGTGTTGGATCGTCGGTCGATTCTGGAGGTCTCATATCGGTCGATGGGTGTGGTATGTCATCGATCGATGGGGATGGGTCAGGTCGGTTTGCGAGCTGTCTTTGGATATCTTCTACCTCCTTCTGAATCCCTTCTGTTGTAAGTTCCAAACTTCGAACATCACTCTGTACTGGGAACCAATACTTGTCTAGTAATCTGTAATCTTCATCTCCACAAGCCTTAATGGATTTGTAGATCTCGGCTGTGGTTTCTTTAAGTTCTTCCCTGGTACAGAATTCTTGAGCATGGGTATCGATCGATGGACTGGGTTTGTCATCGAACGATAGCTTCTGTAAGTGGTGCTCGATCGGTTTATTGACGGGTGTATCGATTGATGCAGGGGGATCTGTATCAGTCGATGCCTGTGTCTGAGATCTCAGTTGTGCGCGCAAGGTGTTGACTTCTTCTTGTAGGGCTTCTCTTTCTTGTCGTGCTAAGTCATTGCTGGTGGTGTTCCATAGCAGTTCACCTCGAAGTCTTGATAGGTCTTTCTCATGTTCAAGTCTCATGCCTGCTATCTCCCAGTTGTGATCTCCGGTTCTTCCATCTAGCATATAGGTGACTTCTACCTGTGTCTAGAGCTTGCCATCTGGAACTCCTTTAGCATATTGATCAGCATACTCTGGTAGACAAAAACAAGAGCGTCCAAATAATGAGGCTCTCTTCAGCAAGTTTCCCATGTCTTCTTTGGTAACATGGATGATGTCTTCGTTTACTGCTCTTGCATGGCAAGATTCATCTCTGTAGACTCCATATTCATCTTTCTTTTCCCAAAAGAAACGACGAACTCCGTTGTTGAAGGCTCTCTTCCCATATTCTCGGTGCGTATCGATCGATGCGAGTCTCCATGCATCGGTCGATGGCCATTTTCTTTGGTGCGGATTGTTTTCGATGATAGGTCCATTGGCCATCTGAAGGATGTCTGCAACATCTTCTGTGGAGATTGGAATGATTCTCCCATCTATTGCTCGTGCATGACCATCTGTATCCCTGAAAATACCATACTCATCCGGAATTAGTGAATTTAAATCAAATTTAGATGACTGTACTTTGGATGGTGTTGTGGCAGGATCGGTTGGTGATTGATATCGATCGATGGAGAGTGCTCCATATCGGTCGATAGGACTGCATCGGGTTGGATCGCGGGTTGTAGTGGTGCTGTATCCACTGCAAAACTTTCGTGATAACTGCTGGCCCAACTTCCAATCGAGTAATCTCCGTCGTGTGGCTCATATGGGGCATGGACAGGTGCATAGTAGGTGTCGCTTGTGAGTTCGAAACGTCTTTTGAGCGATCTGGGATAGGGCATATCGATCGATG